TTCATCCATAAAAATTATCCCTTTGATGACACTACAGAACCTTTAAACCCAATCTAATTGATCAGTATTGAAAATCTCAATACATTTTCATTTGCGAGTTTCTGTCATACTTTACAAACATTCCTAATAGATCGATACTCTGAAATCATTCATTAGTTAATAAAATCAAACCGCGGCGATATTTTAGGTCCATAACAAACGGACCCTCGTCAAATGAATGACAGTGAAAAAAATGGCTTTAATATTTTTGTATTCCCTAAAGTAGATAAACGAATGCGTATTGTATTAATTTATTCAATTTCAGCCTGAACCTTTTTTCTGGGGCCAAACGAATGTATTACACGCCTCATATTTGTAGAGATTGGAAATATTTGCATAGATTATTTGTTCTCTAATGGTTCAGCATACCGCCTTATTAACTGACGATCGTGGGTTCGATTTTAATTTTTTTTACAAATTGCATTTATATACACTCTTATGAGTAAGTAATTTTTATGTATGTTTAATTATCAGTATATCTATGCATATATAATATAAGTATAAACCTTATATTTAGTGGTGTTAACAGAGAAATTTAAATTAGGTATTTTCAATATTTACTTTACTGTCATAGTTACACAAAAAATAAAATAAAAAAATATCTAATTAAAGGTCTGGAACGAGTATTTTAGAAATGGTTTAAAGGTCATATCAAATAATACAAATAATAAAATTAAGAGTCGAATTATATAAATAAAACAAAAAAACTCTTCATCCCAGTTGCCATCTTGTGAGAATATGCAGAATATAGTATACAGACGAAATAAAAGAAAAACATAAACAAAGAAAAAGAAAAACAAAACGAATATACGCTGTGCTAAATAAAAACTATACATTCATACATCCCCATACATTCCCTTCACATTGAGCCTCTAACCGTAACTCGTTCATGTTATAATCAATAATTAAATTTACATACATAAAACACGTTATAATTTGATGTATATTGAATTACGGAAAGTTAATTGTAGGTTTAAATTACTTTGTTTACGCTCTATACCTATTTATTAATACAAATAAGACGTTGATGAAGGTACGCTCAATTCTCATGTTGCGAAACGAAGGTAACCTACTAAAATCTCTTATCGAAATAAATCACTTGAATGTATTCAAAAGTTCACTTTTTGACTTTGTAGTTAGTAAATCACAGTATTACACTACTATACTATTGTCTGGTTTCTCAGAGATACGAACTAGAATGTAATATTTATTTATTTATTACACACACACACACACACAAACATATTACCAACAGTACAAGCATTTGTTTAGAAACGTGTAACTCGTACAAAACTAGATTGTAATGATGTTGGCTTTTTGACTTTGGCGCTAGTAATTCATTCTACATCATTGACGGTTTTCTCAGAGTTATGAACTAGAATGTAATATTTATTTAGCACATAAAATTACAATAAAATTTATTAGCACATAAAACAATTTTTAGTACAAGTATTTGTTTAGAAGAGTGTGATTCTTACAAAACTGAATTTTAATCTAACACTTTATGCCTAGCAGCTAAATTATATAGATGCATATATATTGACATGTATAATTATTATGGACCCTATAATTTGATTTGATATCGGTGTTTTCATCCTCAGAGAATTAGTTAGAAATATTATATTAAATATATATTTTTTTTATGTTGGTCAGTCTTGAACTCACGACTTTTGGCGTTGAAGACAGTTAGTTAAATATCACGATGCTCTCAATAATAAATATGTTAAAATATTGCTAAGTAATTTAATACTACTGCTATTATGTAATTAATATAAAACCTTAGAATTATTACATGCAAAATGGTTCAAAGAAAAGTATTCAATTTTATTACTGTATTATATTTGATTTATTTACATTTTTGGTAAGAACGTTTCCGTAGAGTTTTTAAAAACTATTATGATATTTGGAAATTTGTTGAATTTTATTTGAAGTATAATCAGGTATGGTAATACAGAATTTAACATTAAGCTAAGTGCTTTTTAAAGATCAAACGAGTAGTCCATTATACATAAAATTAATTTTGTCGACTTCAGCAGTAATTATTCTTTTTGTTTCTCATCCAGAGCATCTAAATTAAATTTGTCCAGTAAATATGTTCTATATTTTTTAATAATCATTTCTTTATATACACTCTATAGCAACAAATACATACAATAACAACTACAAAAGGTGGTCTTATCGCTAAGCAATCTTTTGCTTTTGCTATCTTTTTTTAAACACCCTTTAGGTAGACGGTGAAGATATGAGACAAGAGTATATATATACATAACAAGATAACAAATGAAATTTTACTGATATATATTCATTATGTTATTGGAATAGCAAACAAGTTGATGGTTGCCTATATACATAAACAGTACTACGAATATCACATTGTCTTGTGATACCTGTGATATCACTCATGCGTTGCCATTCCAGGAGACTATGATTTCATGGCTCTTATCGAATAAACTCAATCGCGCCCTACAACTGAAGTACAGCTTACAAAGCAAGCTACTTGGCTGCTGAAATAGATCAGATTAAGATGAGGTGACCCACGCAGATAACTTTTTAGAGTGTACCTCGGCAAATTATGTATAAGTTTTCATTTTACATTACTATTATAATATTAATTAATATACATATATACATGTTATTCTATAAGGTATTTATAATAAGAGCCACTAATGGCATGAAATAAATAAATAAATAAGTACTTATTATTTTTTGCACAAAAAATTTGAAGTGCAACTTTTTATTTTCATATTTAATATTTCTTTTTTCTAAATCTAAACATTATATTTTAGTGCACAATTACTTAAACCACAGATAATATAATATTACATATTTAAACTAAAATTTAGCTGGCATTCATATGTTGATATGTTAATTTTGCTTAATAACGTCTAGACATAGTAATACTTGAACACCGTAGGTATATTCAAGAAATATGAAGGATGCTAGGGGTACGTCGCTACGAACAAAATAATTTCTATATGAGTCTGCGTAACGATTTTTTTTTGGCACAGCATATTGCAAACCATTGTTTATTACTTATTGATTTAGCTCGAATGCACTACAAACTGACGGTAGATTTGACACATCATAAGGATCTGTTTTTTTACATAAATAAAAATATTTTAATTTAATTTAAAAACAAAGTAATTGGTTGCATAAATTCATTTAGAATATTTTATCTGACTATGCAAACCCGCCTCGGTTATTATAAAACATTTTTTTTTGTAAAACTGTGTATATTTTTCTTTTTTAGAAGTGTTAAAGGTCAGATTCAATTATTTGCTTAGTGAATGAATGTGAGTGAACGTTGTAAGCAAACGTGGAATTGATATCGTCAATTTACATAGTATACTAAGTATGAACTCTAGAAGGATTTATTTTAAATTTAATTCCTTAGATATAATGTTCGTATTTATAATTCTTAAGTAATAAGATTATACATATAATATAAACTACAGTGTATTATACAATAATCGTTTCATATAATTACCTTCTTTCATGACGATTGGCCGCTTACAGACCAGGCAGAGACGTTTCATAGTTCATCCGTAAAATGATCTCACGTCACACGTCACGTCAGACACATTTTTTTTAAACAATTTATAGCTAATCTTGTAATTATTTGAATATACTAATTATTTGTTGAGGGTCTATTTAATTTATATATTATTTACTACCGACCCCACAAATCCATGATTTTATTTTCCTTGTTATTTTTCATTCCGATATTTCAATAATGTTACACGAGTCGACTGCAGATAACGGTAGATGCAAACAATTATTACGAACAGACATTTCTGTCTACCCGCTCTTTTAGATCTATTCTACATATGATGTATGTATATCTCTACCATTGGAATACACTTTTATGATATGTAATTATAATGATGACTTTAAAAAGGCGTTTATGTAAATTGGACAATATACTGTGTCGATCTGAAATAATGGGATAATGGAAAAGGAATAATAATGTAAAAAAGAAAGTAAAAAAAAAATGCTCAATCTGAACATCATAGTTTAGGACCTCGATTGTCTAACGGTTTAGCACACCTGTTTACTTCCGCTAGTTGCGGCTTCGACAATACGCATAGTATTTTTTTTTTCATGTAGATAATAAAATAGTACATACGCCTGACTTAACGATTTACCCAGGCGGGATTCCACTTGAATATGACATCAGATCTGGTAGCCGTGACAAATTCACCAGGAATTTATCATAATCAAGATGATCTTGACATGGCACATTACGATGAAATCAACAGTCCACCTTACTAACAATCCCATTTCTCCCGAATGTATTGTCCAGGATTATTATTTTATCTTCTGTACGCATTATTATATTTTACTACTATCTACTATCAAATGGTAATCGGTACAGAGCTATAATACCTTATTAGCCCTCCTAAGAGGCTTAGTGAGTTGTTGTGGGAGTTATTGTATATTTTTGATCTCCTTTTTGTTTATATTTATAAAGAATGTTTAAAATTTTCCATCATGTGGGCTGTCAGATTCTCGTTTAGTTTTTAATAAATATTTAGCGCTGTTGTACAATTATAGAAACTGCTCAATAATTTCAATTATTAAGACTAAAAGGGACATTTTGATTTTACATTACAGTACAGCATACGTTTATAAAATTTTCACTTAGTCTCAACTTCGTTCCATGTTAGGAAAAAAAAACGCTTGCTACAAATTCCTTCCTTTTATTACACAGAATTAGATAAATATGCCCAATTTTATTACACAGAATTAGATAAATATGCCCAAATTATCAGTAATTTCGAAAGTTTTCCAGAACAGATTTTTTTTCTAGTTTACTAATTATTTCTTGTTTGTCGATTGTTACAGATAAAACAATGCAAACCAGAAAACGCCAGAAAAAAAGAAGAGCGAAGAAAAATTGTGTTGTGCGATGGACGTGCCATTCGAAAATGTAACCTAAAAGTTGAGAGATAACGTTAAAAATGGCATTCACCCTTTGTCCAGCGATGGGCAGAGTTTCCAACAGGGATTTGTTAGTGGTAGTTCTGTTCTTGTTCCGGACAATAGTTTGTGACAGTCTCTGTCCAAAGTTCGCTGAGAAGCCACTTGAGACCAGAGTTCAGGACGCTTCTATAGTTTTTAGGGCTGTGGTCATACAAACACATTATCAGGTGAGTTAATTGTTTTTTGTTTACTTCAGAAGAAATAATATCTTATTATAATATTTTTGTTTTTTTTTCATATTTTATAAGATGACCTGATGTATGTCGTCTTATATTAGCTATTAATTTCTAATTAGTACTACCAAATGCGCGAATGCTTAAACGATGGTTAAATTAAAATGGTTTTCCAAACGTTCCAAAATTACCAGAATTTCAACCTAGGTAAATATCATAATTTTTCACTTTACAAATTTAACAATTTGCAAAATATAAATAAAAAAATTTTAATTGTTGTTCTCAAGTTATGGAGAGAGTGAAGAATATAGGAATTCATTTAATTTATGTAGAATTCATCAGTTATATGTATATATATTGTAGATATAACGGAATGGCAAAAAAGCTGGCGGCTTTCTCATAAATGGCAATATTTGCTTTTGAACATACATGAACAGCACTACTTTCATCACATAATCACGTGACCAACTCTTCATGCATTGCCATTTCGGAGGACTAAGATGCCATGGCTTTGTACCCTGTAATTTCACTGCCGAAAATAAAGGTCAATGTATTACAATAATTAATATGCGAAAAATTTATAGATATATAAATAGAAAGTACTGTATTATAATGATGTATTCAAAAACTTTAGTTCCTAATAAAAATATAATTTATGTTTCGTACATATTAACACACAAATAGAAAGATTTTGCCTGGTCACGTTCACGTGCCATTTTAATATTTTATTAATATGTACCTACATTGCTTTCTCCTTAGTCTAAAAGTCAGAATAAAGTAAGAACAGTAAGTATAATAAAATAAAATCGCTGAAGTACATTACATTGGTTATACATATCACGTAATATGCTTAGTCGTTTGTATTTAGGTCATTGCTTATTTATTAACAGAAGAAATACAAGGAAAATCCTCTGCATCACCCACGCGGAAATCTTATTCCCTTTTTCCTGTGGGAATTGCCAAAAAGCGTTTCATTGTGACGCCTACGTGGCAGAGGTCACTGTTCAACATTTCAAGTGGGTTTTGTTTATATATGAAACCATATTAACAATGCGTACTATAATTACTGACATATGTTTCTATATATAAATATATTTACGTTAAATATATTCTCGTCAATTTTTGCCAATTTCGACATTCATTCCCTATGCATCAACAATCCATCTATTTCAGTTAGCTTTCTTACTCACACGCAATCACGCTCATACATCGACAATTATTAGATAACAATAATAGAGAAAAAGTTCGCGCGCATTTTTAGTTTGCGTATCTGTCTCACTCACGCGCACGGTCATCCGCAATATGTCCTTCCTTACCTATTTCCTAAAAACCAAATAGATATCGACCCAGTTGATCGCCGGTAATCACTGTTTTAGGAACGCCATCTTACTTAATTAAATATTAATAGTGCCAACGCATGTTGAATCAAATTGAGTGTTTTTGTGTATGTGTGAGAGAGTGCAGTAAAATTTACTTATAATTAAAATGGCGAAGAATTAACAACCAGCGACATTCTAGGAAGGAAGGAAGCGTAACCAAAAATTCACCGGAGGTGAGCTCCTATTTATTAACTCCATACAAAAAAAAAAATATATCTGACGGGGGTTTGTTTAAGAAACATAACCTATATATGTTTTTAACTAATGTATCGTGGTAAACTTCATTTAAAATGTAGCGTTTGTTTTAGTTTAATCTGTATTGTCTTATCTATGATACTACTATCAACATTCTAATATTATAAAGAGGTAAAGTTTGCGAGGTGGTAGCGGGTAATTTCTGAATCTATTGAACGTATTTTCAAAAAATTTTTAGTGTTGAATAGCTCTTTTATATAGAAGGCTATATAACATCACATGACCAATAGGAGCAATGAAAGCAATAAACTCAGTCAGGTCAGTAGTTCAAATATCAGTCTATTCATAATAAAGTATTGTTATGCGAGACCATTTCCCCACTTGATTACATGTATTGATATAATAAAAATCTGAATATAAAAAAAGAATAGAAATAATCATTATTCCATATCTTTCCATATCTTTATTTCTATATACAAATAAACTTAATACAAGCACTTGAGAATAAGATTTTTTTGCATTATATCGCTGATTCTGAAAGTATTATCAACCAAAGATAATGAGCATGGAAGATTTGTAAAAAGAACCCGAATCGGTCACTTATAATTATACAATATAACATTTTAACATAACAATTACATAACTATTACGATGATGGCTGGACGGTTTGGTATAGTATTTTAATTTTGGGGTTTCCTCGAGAAAGATTGATGATATTGTCTTTCTATTCCTTCACTGTGTTAAGTTGTCAGGTAAAACAAAAGCCTTCATTAAATTGGATTCCATTGTTTTCTGTTATAATTCAATTAAAATTATAATCCGCTAATATCGTCGGATAGTTTAATCCAATACTGGAATATATTTTCAAATAAAACGGGCTACGTTCCGCAAAGTAATTAAATGCAAATACATTTAGTGGTCGGTTCGGTATGAAATAATTTCGAATGGCGGTGCATTATCGGGGATCTATTTAGAATCCCACAATTCCCCAATCGGATTGACCACAATGCAATTTATTTGAATGGAAAATACCGTCATTGTTTTGCCTGTGTTTGGAACAAAAATATAATCTACTAACACATTTCTGCTCGAATTCACTTCAGAGGCTTTTGTACATGCATTGATTTGATTTAACAAATAAATAATTCAAACGCATTTTGGCCTTTAGATCCGATATTATTAATGGAGCATTAGTACAAATATGGACAGACAACAAATATGGACAGACAACTGTCTAGTACCCATAACACGGGCTCAATATTAGCTTAGTACTAGATGGATATTTGTGAATTGTCCACAGTTATCATTAGAATATTTTCTTCAATTCAATAAAAATAGGTAAATTAAAAAAAAAAATAGGTATTCTATAACAGATACATAAAAAAATAAATATAAAAAAAATACAATTAATTACTGTCGATATACAAATTCTATACCATCTTCTTTTTATTCATAATTGGTTATCGTCGATTTAAGTTCCTTGACATAAATACTAAATATTAGGTTTATGTTTATATAGCATGAGGTCTAAGCCGGGCCGAGAGCTATTAATTTATCATAAAACTGTGGACTCATGAGATACTCGTACATGAAGCTACCCAAAGTTTTTTTTTTAAATATCCAAAGTTACGGCATGTTGTTATAAGCAATTTCCTCCCGTAAAAAAAAGATTGATGGCAGACAGATAGGTCGGGATGGTGTATGAGAACCCGTTCGTGTATGAAGTTCATGTCAGGGAAACAAAAGTTTATTTTGACCGGGGTAACATGACGTGGGTTTACCCTGTACCCTTAGATAGGTGTTCACATATAAAGTGTTGAGATTTAACATTCATCTACATTAATTAACTGAAGATTTATCTAAACGCATGCTCATGATAATTACAGTAATATTATACTTTAGAGTAGTATTACAAATTATAGTAGTATCGCATAATACAGAAGTATTACAATTTATAGTAGTGTTACAAATTACGGCAGTATAACAAATTATAGTAGTGTTTAATTAGTATTTAGTTTTGTAGTTGTATCTGAAACATGTATAATTAACCATTCTTTTCAACTGAATTTCTATTCTGAATGCGATAATGTATTAAAAAATAAACGTCTATTTATATGCTTGTATTGAACTAATTTTATTATTTTTAATATGTAGATTTTAGTGTCGCACCACTACATATTTCTATATGAATCTTAGAAACAACTTCAATGTATTTGTAGTATTTACAATTTTTATATTAATTTGAAATCACAAAACTCATCTGCTACCACATAAAACTATTAAACAAACCAACAGAGAGCAAAGTTAAACAATAAATATAACTAAATTACAATGTTGTAATAAAAAAACAAATGATGTTGCGAAGTTAACTACACATAAAAATGCATTGGACTGAAATAGAGTCGTCCTGGGAATGAAGCTCTCACAAAATAACGTCACAACATTTTATTTTGAGGACAGCCTAATTTTAAGGACAGTCCTTAGTGTTTTTGACGATATACTAACGTACCTCACTTCATATGAATGGAGGCCACTAATAAAATTATTTCTTTTTGATAAAAATGTAATAGCATATGCTAGTGGTCACTCCATGCTCCATTATTTAATTTAAAAATGAATCTGTATTTTTTAATCACGTACAAGCTCATTTGAAAATATATAAGTTCTATTATATTCTTGTTAGTTATTATATATATATCTTAGCACTTATATGTCAAATCTACCGTCACTTCTTCGAAAGCACTCCGAACTGATGGTAGATTAGACATATCATAAGTGTGTAATACATGAATACCTAAAGATATTTCATTACTGCAATAGTGTAGAAAACGATATATTTTACATTGTCAGAGTTCTACTATAAATAAATTCAGATAAATCTGGACTAACTTTAACACATGCTGATTCATTGGGTAGACCATTGTGTACTCTATGGCTTTAGTAATAAAGTGCGTTTTTCATTAAATATTATTTTGATTAATACATTATTCCTGGTAACTAAATCTGATACTGTCAATACAAGTTAGTCTTTGTTTGTGTAAACAGCCGATTTATATTTCTTAGGTTTTAAGTTTTTATCGAGATACATACATGTCTCGGTTGCCACTGTTACCCGAAAATACAAACAGCACAGCAGACTTGGTCCCATATCTGAGAACTAAGAAAATAATAACAACCGTGGACAATTGACAAAGCGCCATCTAGCGACCAAGCTATCATATCAAATCTTTCTACTGTGCGAGGAATCGAACCCGCGACCATCGGAAAATTATATTATATTATACGGAAAGCCAAGTCCGTATTATATAATATAATTATATGGATTTGATAGGTATCTGATATACAGATATAACAGTATCATAATTACACTTAATATTAAATTTATATAATTGGCTGAATTTTGGTAGGCTGGAAATCGGA